TGCGTTCACCATTGGAGCTTTGATTTCTGGGGTAGGTGTTGTGACAAAGGCTGTTCCTCTGCTAATATGGGCAGGGTCACCAGGGTACTGAGTGGGTTGCACACCCCTTGGAGAAGCACCAGGGCACTTCTCTGTGTCTGAGTGAGGTTGAAGGGCTCTCTAAACCTCCCCACTGGAGTATGGGACACACAGGACTGCATGCACCCATGTGAGGTCAGAGCACTCCCTATACCCTCTTGCTGAGGCAAGATGCTCTGGCTGAGTTGAATGGGTCTCTGAGTTCCCTGGACCTGAGGTTGCATGGACCTAGGCAATTCACTGAAGATGCATGCAAGATACCATGCTCCCAGGAGAAGGCAGCTCACTCCCTGCACCCTCTCCATTGGGGCAGAATGCTCTAGTGGGCTGAGTTTGGCAGTCTTTTAGTTCCTGGGGGAGGTGGTAGATCCACATGGAACTATGGATGCACGGTTCCTCTAAGGGTGCACCTGGGAGGGCTGATACACTCCCTGGACCCTCTCCACTAGTGGGGGAGGCTCTGACAGGCTCTGGGAAGCACTTGTTGACCAATTTCACATTATAGCTAACTTCTTTTGATTCTGCTGACTCCAAAATTATGACCATATGCATTATATGATATATATTATATATGCATATCCCTGTTTTTTACATAGTCTTCTCATTCATACAGACTAAGCTACAGAGAACTGTCAGAACATGAGAGAAGTGAAAAGATTTTCTGTAGAATTTCCCTAAGATCCAGCAGATGGTGCTATAGGCACATCACTCTGCCTTCCAGACAGGGAGGAAAGAGTGAGTATACAGGGATGTTATGAGAACTTCACTGTTTATCCTTACCAGTTTTGTTTGTTTTAGGAGTGGATTTTTTAGGTGAAAGACTTCATTCCTTAAGAACTATCTTCAAATCCCTGCCTTTTCCAAGACATTAATAGTCCCCTACTCCCTGGTTATTCCTAGGAAGAAGCAGATTTGAGTTAATATCTTGTCTTCTCCACTTAATAGCTAAGTGACTTGAAACAAGTTACGTATTTTCTCTGAGCCACAGCTGTCTCATCTGCAAAATGGACATCATGATATCCACATCATAAGGTTGTTGTCAGGACTAATGAAATGATATACATCTGTGCACACAGCACTGTGCTTGGCATACAGGGGAACATAATTTCCTTTCTTCTGCTGACTCACAGAGAGAAGCACTCAAAAACCCAGAGCATGGCACATTCCATTAAAAAACCCTTTTCTCGTCAAGCCTATCATCCCCAAGGGGGGAAACCACTATAACCAAACTTATGAGGGGGGAATCCTCATGCCCAGCCCTGCTACATGGAGCACATCCTCCAGTAAAATTATGAATGTAAGTTTTGGAAAGGATTTTTGTGATTATCTAGTCCAACTCTTACATTAGTAATTCTCAAAAGGGACAGAAGAGGCCAAAACGTATGTTCCATGTGCTTCTTGTTTTCTTGACACAATCCAGGAAATAAAGCTCTATAAAATTCTGGTTGGTGAGCAAATTCAGAAAATAAAGTACTGAAAGGATTAAGTCTTTTTAAAAAATGGTGAAAAACTCTTTACATGATACATGAAAGTTCTCATAATACCCTTGACAATAAATTCAATTACTTCACAAACAGCTCATTTTATTTTCAGTCAATGCAGATGTTAAAAATTTCTTCCTTACATCAAGTCAAAATTTACTTCCATTTTATGAGCACCCGAAGGTCCCATGTTCCCTTTCCCTACCACCCGATACATGCTGACATTCACAAACAGACATGTGCATTTTTCCCTCTTACAAGAGTTAATGGTTCTAATGCCCCACACTTTCCAGCCCTTATCTCCTGTCTGATATTCTCCTCTCCTGGATAATTCCTGGCAAACAAATACTGAAGAGGAGCAGAGGACGGTAAACTACAGCCACAGGCCATAACTAGCTCATCATCAATTTCTGTATGGCCCACAAGCTAAGAATACTTTCTACATTTGCAAGCTGTTGAAAAAAAAATGACATATGAAATTATATGAAATTCAAAGATCAGTATTGATAAGTAGGTTTCGCTGAAACACAGCCATGTTCGTCTGTTTATATATCACCTATGGCTGCTTTCATGCTACAACAGCACAGCTGAGTAGTTGTAAAAATATCATCTGGCCTACAAAGCCTATAATATTTACCATATAGCCCTTTACAGAAAAAGATTGCTGATCCTTTGTTTAGGAGAACACTGGCCCCAAGAGCATGTTCACCTGGAATAGCCTTCACCAGCAATTCTTTCCTCCCTCTGTAACAACAGCCAGCTCCTACAGGAAATCGATCTTCACTCAGCAAATTCCACCTCCCCTTCACTCCCACAGTCTGTCACACTTTTTAAAAGATCATTGCTCTGATGAAGCATGACAATCTGGCCCAAATCAGACATCCAGAGGGAACATAGCCATAGAATGGATACTGACTCTGCAGCTCTCTGGGTAGTTCTTAGAAGAAAAACATAGCCTAACAATGGTTGAATTTAGTATTATGTAATTTATCATTTGCTAAAGAGTTGCTTCCACTCCTTTTCAAATCCTGACCTTTAAGTTTTAAGTCTATGTAACTTTACATACCTTCACTGAAATCTTTTTCATATGTTCACAATGGATGGAATACACAGCAAAGTCCTCAGGAATAAGCAGAAAGCCACTCATTGATTCTCAATGCTAAGTTTCAGTTTATATGCAGGTGAAATTATGTCTCTGAGGCGAAGCTGGCAAAAGAAAGGGCAGACCCTAGTCCTACTGTGAAAAAGTGGAAGTTGCTCAATGCAGAGTACTGTAGTAATGACCCTCAATCCTCTTTCAATTCAATCCAAACTGACAAATACTTACGAGAGACCTTTATGTGCTGAGCAATATACTGGGTCTCCAAGTGACATGGAGATAAATAATGCCTATTCCCTATTCTCAAGGAGCTCACAGTCTAGAAATTCTATAAGCACATAGACCAATATATGTGCATACGTGTGTATGAGAGGATATACACCAAATAACTAACAGGAGCTATTTCTGGCTAGTGAGTTTACAGGTATTTTGATTTTCTTTTCTTGCTTATTAATATTTTCTAATTTTTATATTAAGCATTAATTGCACAGTAAAACAATTTTTAAAAATTATAATATAGTATGATTGATATAAAAATAAAATTAGGAACAAGGTATGCAATTACAACTCTCAAGTAATTTTAAGAAAGATTTCCTACGAGAGGGCTGAAGCGGATTCTTAAGAAGGAGTTCACTAAGCAGATAATAAGGAAAGATATTCCAAATATGTACACGTGTGTGTGTGTGTATAATAGCATGTTAATTACTACTGGAGCATAAAAGGGAATGCAGATAAAAGAAAAGGAGCTGGAGAAAAGCCATAACCCAAATCATGAGGAGCCTTATATACCATGCTAAAGAGCATGCATTTCTTCTTAAGGTTACGTAGTGGATGAAATGAAAGCTACATTGATGAATGGCCACTAAGGTGTGATAAACTGAGTTAGGTAAAAAGATAAAAGGAGGGCCTCTGCAACCATTATCCATTCCAAGAGGTAATAATATTAATACAAACGGCACCTTGGCAGAAATCCCACATAAGAAAATTTAGCTTAGAATGAGAGTTTGACTAGATGATCCTTCAGATCCCTTTTAAATATCAGATTCCGTGATTCTTGACATTTGGGCCCTTATGTCCCTGTACACACTCCATTAGACTTCTACTGAAGTCCACACAATTTGTTGTCAATGCATGATGTTAGATAGTTTGGTGAATACACAAAGAGGCCTTTCCGCAAAGTGTCCTGAGACTTCGGCAGGTGAGGCTGATACTAGCCCAGACTTGGGAACTGCTAATGCAATCTCAGGTGAACATGTAAGGAAGTGAGAAAGAAGGTAAACACCTGGGAGGTGGAGATGGGTTTGTTTAGGAGTGAATTAGGACATCCCAAAGAGAGCAGCTCCTCCCTAAGATGGGCCATTATTCCCTCTATAAAAAGGCCACTATCCCCAACTGGCAGCACCCTGCAAGCTACTTGAGTCTCCACCCTACTGATTCCTCTGGTGAACTAGGTAAGTGAGCAGGAGTTCAGCTCCACTCATGAGTACTTAGGGCTATAAAGTCCAGAATATGCTCTAAGGCAAAGAGGCATTGGATGCCAGGCTTCTTTTTAGTATACTTTGAGGAACTTTGGTATAAGTTTAACTTTACTGAGAAGAAAAATGAATCAATGACTGGGACTATGTATATTATCTCCTTTCTTTGGGGTCATTTCTTTAAGATCATGGAGATCTAATTATCCACTAGGCAGGTTGCCTCCTTTACTACTGAACATTTTCTCTGTGTTGTGTAACCAGTAAGGCATGAGAATCAGTCTCTGCTTGGAGAATGAAAACAGAAAATGAAACTGATAGTGGCTGCCCCTAGCATTATATCACCTAGGCCTGTGGTTAGCTTTACCCACTTTGTCTACTTTTTCTGGCCTAGAAGTCTTAAGAGTCCAAGTTAGCCATGGTGCTCCTTAGCTGGAGTCAGGCATGCCATATAGCTTATGGACCTGTCCCCTACAGTGTGATGGTTGGGACCTAGAGAGGAATTGAGGAAGAGGAGGGATTGGCACACTCAGGACTTCTATAGCTCCAGAATAAAGCTCATAAAATTATTCCTAGTAGAGGCAGGGAGCACGAAACAGAAAGGCTTTGCTCCTACATTCATTCAGGAATGGAAATAAAAGATATGGATTCTGCTCCTAATTTCATCACTCTCTTGCTACATGGCTTGAACAAGTCATTCACCGGGATTAGTTCTTAATTACAACAGGATGAAATTAGTCAGGCCTGACTAATTCTGAACAATTATTACAAATGATTAGACGTATTTATATGTTTAAGCAAGAAAAAGGCATAATAAGAGGTGGGTCTCTCTTTTACTCTCCCCTTTAGGTTAATTTAACTTGCAAAAAGATGCCTAAACTTCTACAAGGAATCATCACTGTCATTGACGTTTTCTACCAATATGCCACCCAGCAAGGGGAATGTGATATGTTAAACAAAACAGAGCTAAAAGAACTTTTGGGAAATGAGTTTCGTCAAATTCTAAAGGTAAGAATGCATGCTAGTACTAAATTATCTTCTTTAGCCCTTCTTACCTTTTCACACATATGTCAGACATCCTAGAGGACTCTCCCTACTTGGTGATGGAGAACAAGGTTTGGTAAAGGCTTGAGATAAGGTCAAAAGTTGACCCATAATGGTTTCCCCGACATGACCAAGGGAAGTAGATCCTACTAAACAACAAATAAAATCCACAGATTAAATAATGTCTTATTTAGATAAGCAATTCTTGTGAAACACAACTGAGATGGTTCTCAGAAAAACTATAAAGTAGGTGAAATGTATCTTCTTCGTCTTTCTTCAGCCCACAATGCTCTGACCATTGCCCATTTCTGAGATTCTGGAACTGTACAGTCTCTGAGTTCAGGAAATTAGCACTTACCTGTAAATCACAAAAGACGGTGAACACTACCTTAAAATTGTCGACTCTAGAATAAATATTTGTGAGCTGAGATCTGGCTCTTGAGCTTCAATTTCTTAAATTTAACTGCCTACTAAATATGGTTATTTGGATTCCTATTAATATTTTAAATTCAGTGTGTCAGATATGAATCTAATCATTTTCCCCTCTAAACTCCTTCCTCCTTCTTCTTGCCCAAGGCAGAAACCTGTTGCCATTCTTGAGTTCCTCTCTCAGCAGGCACTACCATCTTTCAACCTCCATCTAATTTATCAATAGTCTCTCAAAATATTACATTTCTCTCCATCACTAAGTAGTCCTCTACTTCAGGCCACCTCCTACTGCCAATCTCAGCAATAGAGGCAAATCTAATGATTTCATTCTTCAGCTCAAAATCCTTCAACATCTCTTAAAATAAAGTCCAAAGTTCTTTAACATGACTTAAAAGTCATAATTTGGTCCCTATATGTCTTTTTAGCCATATTTCTTGTCTCCCCAGACTCTAAATCCAGCAATCCTAAATTTCTTTTGGTTTCTAGAGGGTTCCATGCCTTCTCTCACCTCTAGCCCTTTGTTTATATCATTCCCTCTGCCTGGAACAATCTTTAGCTCCCTCTCCTTCCCTTCCTACCCACCCCCTCTCTCCTCATTTCATACCCCCATCCTTCAAAAGGTCTCACTTCCTCTCATTAACCTTTCTGGGACTCCCTGTAGTTCCCCTCTGATGTACTCTCATAGAAACCTTATCACAATAAATTATAATTTTAAGTTTGTGTATCCAACCCACTAAACTTAAAATTCCATTTTTTCAGGAACCAAACTTGTTCACTGCTTTATCTCCTCATGTAACACAATGCTAGGCAGATAGTAGGTACACAATAAATCTTTGTCAAATAAGTAAGTTCACAAATTAATTAAATTGTACAAATAAAGTCACATGTAATTAATGCAGGTATCCAAAATTATTTATAAATTAACTAATCGTTCACATTTGACCCATTCTTTACCAAAAACAGTCAATCCCCTTGTTCCCTTTTATCTTCCATTTGCATCCCCTTCTGGCTATTTCTCACTACATTATTTACTGCATATTCCTTTCTCTCTTTCTACTCAGGATAGGGCAATCCAGCCAAAAGGACTATGTGGTTGAGCTCCAACTAAACAAGCCAAACATTCACATTTCTACAGCCTTCTTTCAATTAGTTATCTGAGTATGTGGTCCACACTGACAGAGCTGCTTTTTGTACCTTGTTCCTGTACAGAAACCAGATGATCCAGACACTGTAGATGTCATCATGCAAAGTCTGGATAGAGACCATAACAAGAAAGTGGACTTTATTGAATATCTTCTGATGATATTCAAGCTGGCTCAGGCTTGTAATAAAATCATTGGCAAAGATTACTGCCAAGCTTCAGGGTCAAAGCAGAGAGATCACAGTCACCAGCACCAAGAGGAACAAAACGAAACCGAAGAAAAGCAGGACAAAGGGCAAGAATCCTCTTCTAGTCATTCAACTTGTAGTGCAGGAGAGAATGACTCCTATTCAAGGTGTTCCAGAGGAAGCCTTAAACACAGACCTGGGTTCATCTCACAAAGACTGGGGCATCAAGGAGACTTGCCTGTTTCTGGGTATAGGCAAAACTCTGTAGAAAGGACAGAGTCAAGTTCAGGCCACTTCAAGGATAGTGAGAAAAACAAGCATGGCTCTCATCAGCAAGAAAGGTCTGAGAGTGAAGGAGTTGATTATACTCATTCAAGTAATTGTAGAAAAAGGTCAAACTCTGCAAATTGGTCAGACAGTTGTGGAGAACAAGGGCCATGCCACTCAGAGGATCAGTCTTTCAGTTCTGACCAACACTGGTCTAACTCAAATAAATCCTTAGGGAATAGACAACATAAGAAGAAATCAAGAAAGTTTCTTGGTAAGCAGCATCATAAATTCAGCTCAGAGAATTGTGGAGACCAAGACCACTGGTCAGATTCAAATGAGCCCACTGGTTGCAGTCATGGGTCTAGCTTAGGTGAGTCCTCTCAACAGAGATGGCATGAAGCAAATGCAGGATTTCAATCAGGAAACTGTGAAGAACAAGGACATTGTCCTAGTTCAAGTGAGTCCGCTACTTGTGGAAAACACAGGTCAAGCTCAGGCCCATCCTCTAGTCAAAGACACGGATCCAGCTTAAGCAGTCAATCAGGATATAGTCAACGACAAAAACATGGTTCTGAACCAAGACAGTCTTCAAGCTATGAGTCTGAAGGAGAGTATGCATCTGAATCAGGCAAGTCCATAAGCAGTGGCAAAAATCAATCAAGCTCCTATCAGTCCTCTACTCAGAGAAAACATAGCAGCAGCTCAAGTTGTCAGCCAGGAACCCGTGGAAGACAAAAGCATGGGTCTGCTGTGGGTCAGTCCTCTACCTTTGATCACCATGGGTCTGGCTCAGAACAACCTTCTAGCTATGATTACCAAGAATCTGGATCTGGAGAATCTTCTGGCTTTGGGCAACATAGGTCTGGCTCAGGTGAGCCTTCTGGCTCCAGTAAGCATGGATGTGGCTCAGGTCAGTCCTCTAGCTATGGACAACATGGTTATACATCAGGACAGTCATCAAATTGTGGCAAACATGAATCTAGCTCAGGTCAGTCTTTCAGCTATGGTCAGTATGGGTCTGGCTCAAGTCAGTCTTCTCACAGCCATCATGGTTCTGGCTCAGGCCAGTATTCTACACACAACCAACATAGGTTTGGATCAGGCTGGTCTTCGAGCCATGGCCAACATGGGTCTAGAACAGGTCAGTATTCTGGCTTTGAGCAACATGGCTCTGGATCTGGTGAGTTCTCTAGTTTTACTCATGAAGGATCTGGCTCAGGTCACTCCTCTAGATACAGAAAACATGCTTCCACATCAGGACAGTTAACAAGCTATGGCCAACAGGGGTCTAACTTGGGTCATTCTTCCAGCTATGGTCAGCATGGCTTTGGCTCAAGTCAATCTTCTAGCTATGGCCAACATAGATCTGGATCAAGCCGGTCTTCTAGCCCTAGCCAATATAGATCTGGCTCAGGTCACTCTTCCAGCCATGGCCAACATGAGTCTGGATCAGGTCAGTCTGCTTGCCACAACCACCAAGGGGCTGGATCAGGTCAGTCATCCAGTTATGGCCAACATGGGTCTGAATCGGGTCAATCTTCTGGCTTTCACAACCACCAAGGGGCTGGATCAGGTCAGTCATCCAGTTATGGCCAACATGGGTCTGAATCAGGTCAATCTTCTGGCTTTGGGCAACACAGGTCTGGCTCAGGTGAGTCTTCTGGCTTTACACAGCATGGATCTGGCTCCCATCAGTCCTCTAGCTATGGACAACATGGTTCTACATCAGGACAGTCATCAAGTTGTGGTCAACATGAATCTAGTTCAGGTCAGTCTTCCACCTCTGGTCAACATGGTTCTGGCTCAAGTCAGTCTTCTAGCTATGGCAGACATAGATCTGGATCAGGCCGGTCTTCCAGCCCTAGCCAACACAGATCTGCCTCAAGTTATTCTTCCAGTCATGGCCAACAGTGGTCTGGATTGGATCAGTCTCCTAGCCATACTCAACAGGAGTCTGGATCAGGTCAGTCCTCCAGCTATGGCCAACATGGGTCTGAATTAGGTCAGTCTTCTGGCATCGGGCAACACAGGTCTGGCTCAGGTGAGTCTTCTGGCTTTAGACAGCATGGATCTGGCTCCCATCAGTCCTCTAGCTATGGACAACATGGTTCTACATCAGGACAGTCATCAAGTTGTGGCCAACATGAATCTAGTTCAGGTCAGTCTTCCACCTCTGGTCAACATGGTTCTGGCTCAAGTCAGTCTTCTAGCTATGGCAGACATAGATCTGGATCAGGCCGGTCTTCCAGCCCTAGCCAACACAGATCTGCCTCAAGTTATTCTTCCAGTCATGGCCAACAGTGGTCTGGATTGGATCAGTCTCCTAGCCATACTCAACAGGAGTCTGGATCAGGTCAGTCCTCCAGCTATGGCCAACATGGGTCTGAATTAGGTCAGTCTTCTGGCATCGGGCAACACAGGTCTGGCTCAGGTGAGTCTTCTGGCTTTAGACAGCATGGATCTGGCTCCCATCAGTCCTCTAGCTATGGACAACATAGTTCTATATCAGGACAGTCATCAAGTTGTGGTCAACATGAATCTAGCTCAGGTCAGTCTTCCACCTCTGGTCAACATGGTTCTGGCTCAAGTCAGTCTTCTAGCCACAGTCAACATGGCTCTGGCTCTGGCTCTGGATCAGGCCAGTATTCTAGGCACAGCCAACATAGGTCTGGATCAGGCCACTCTTCTAGCCACGGCCAACATGGGTCTAGAACAGGTCAATCTTCTGGCTTTGAGCAACATNCCAAAATCCATCTACCTCAAGTCATTCTTCCAGCTATGATCAGTATGGCTCTGGCTCAAGTCAGTCTTCTAGATATAGTCAGCATAGGTCTGGATCAGGCCAGTCCTCCAGCTCTAACCAGCATAAATATGGATCAGGTCAGTATTCTAGCCCCAGCCAACATGGGTCTGAATCAGGTCAGTCCTGAGATCAGGCCAGTCTTCCAGCTCTTGCTGGCACAGATGTGGATCAGGTCAATATTCTAGCCCCAGCCAACATGGGTCTGAATCAGGTTGGTCTTCTGGCTTTGGGCAACATGGGTCCAGCTCAGGTGAGTCTTCTGGCTTTAATCAGCATGGATCTGGTCCAGGCCAGTCCTCTAGCTATGGACAACATAGTTCTACATCGGGACAGTCATCAAGTTGTGGCAAACATGAATCTAGCTCAGGTCAGTCATCCACCTCTGGTCAGCATGGCTTTGGCTCAAGTCAGTCTTCTAGATATGGCCGACATAGGTCTGGATCAAGCCGGTCTTCTAGCCCTAGCCAATATAGATCTGGCTCAGGTCACTCTTCCAGCCATGGCCAACATGAGTCTGGATCAGGTCAGTCTTCTTGCCACAACTACCAAGGGGCTGGATCAGGTCAGTCGTCCAGCTATGGCCAACATGAGTCTGAATCAGGTCAGTCTTCTGGCTTTGGGCAACATAGGTCCGGCTCAGGTGAATCTTCTGGCTTTAGACAGCATGGATCTGGCTCCCATCAGTCCTCTAGCTATGGACAATATGGTTCTACATCAGGACAGTCATCAAGTTCTGGTCAACATGAATCTAGCTCAGGTCAGTCTTCCACCTCTGGTCAGCATGGCTCTGGCTCAAGTCAGTCTTCTAGATATGGCCGACATAGGTCTGGATCAAGCCGGTCTTCCAGCCCTAGCCAATATAGATCTGGCTCAGGTCACTCTTCCAGCCATGGCCAACATGAGTCTGGATCAGGTCAGTCTTCTTGCCACAACTACCAAGGGGCTGGATCAGGTCAGTCGTACAGCTATGGCCAACATGAGTCTGAATCAGGTCAGTCTTCTGGCTTTGGGCAACATAGGTCCGGCTCAGGTGAATCTTCTGGCTTTAGACAGCATGGATCTGGCTCCCATCAGTCCTCTAGCTATGGACAATATGGTTCTACATCAGGACAGTCATCAAGTTCTGGTCAACATGAATCTAGCTCAGGTCAGTCTTCCACCTCTGGTCAGCATGGCTCTGGCTCAAGTCAGTCTTCTAGCCACAGCCAACATGGCTCTGGCTCAGACAAGTATCCTAGGCACAGCCAGCACAGGTCTGGATCAGGTCACTCTTCTAGCCATGGCCAACATGGGTCTAGAACAGGTCAATCTTCTGGCTTTGAGCAACATGGCTCTGGCTCTGGTGAGTCTTCTGGTTTTACTCAGCAAGGATCTGGCTCTGGTCAATCTTCTAGCTATGGACAATGTGGTTCTACATTAGGAAAGTCATCAAGCTGTGTCCAAAATCCATCTACCTCAAGTCATTCTTCCAGCTATGATCAGTATGGCTCTGGCTCAAGTCAGTCTTCTAGATATAGTCAGCATAGGTCTGGATCAGGCCAGTCCTCCAGCTCTAACCAGCATAAATATGGATCAGGTCAGTATTCTAGCCCCAGCCAACATGGGTCTGAATCAGGTCAGTCCTTCAGCTCTGGCAAATATGGGTCTGAATCAGGTCAGTCTTCTAGCTATGGCCAACACAGATCTAGCTCAGGCCAGTCATCCAGCTATGGTCAGCATTGGTCTGGTTCAAGTCAGTCTTCGAGCTGTGACCAGCAGCTCTGGCAAATATGGGTCTGAATCAGGTCAGTCTTCTAGCTATGGCCAACACAGATCTAGCTCTGGCCAGTCATCCAGCTATGGTCAGCATTGGTCTGGTTCAAGTCAGTCTTCGAGCTGTGACCAACATGGGTCTGGATCAGGCCAATCTTCCACCCACAGCCAACATAGATCTGGCTCAGGTTGGTCTTCTATCCATGGCCAACATGGCTCTGGCTCAGGTCAGTCTTCTAGCTATGACCAACACAGATTTAGATCAGGCCAGTCTTCTAGCCACAGCCAACAAGGGTCTGGATCAGGTCAGTCATCTGGCTTTGAGCAACATGGTTCTGGAACAGGTCAGTCTTCTAGCTTTGGGCAACATGGTTCTGGTTCAGGAGAGTCTCCTTGCTTTGGTCAGCATGGATCTGGCTCAGGTGAGTCTTCTAGCTATAACAAACATGGGTCTAGTTCAGGTCAATCAACCAGCTACAGTCAGCATGAGTCTGGCTCGGGGCAGTCTTCTAGCTATGGCAAATATGGATCTGGATCAGGTGAGTCTTTTGGCTCTAGTCAGTATGGATCTTCCTCAGGTCAGTCCTCTAGCTATGGCCAACATAGGTCTGGATCAGGCCAATCTTCTAGCCACAACCACCAAGAGGCTGAGTCAGGTCAGTCCTCCAGGTATGGCCAACATGGGTCTGAATCGGGTCAGTCTTCTGGCTTTGGGCAACATAGGTCTGGCTCAGGTGAGCTTTCTTGCTCTAGTGAGCATGGATCTTCCTCAGGTCAGTCCTCTAGCTTTGGACAATATGGTTCTACATCAGGACAGTCATCAAGTTGTGGCCTACATGGATCTGCCTCAGGTCATTATTCTAGCCACAGTGAGCATGGGTCTGGATTGGGTCATTGCTGTAGCTCTGAACAATATCAGTCTGGCTCACATTCCTCATCCAGCTCTGGAGAATATGGTTCTGGATCTGGTCAGTGTTCTAACTCTGGAAACTATGGTTCTGGATCTTATCAGCAGTCTAGCTTAGGACAACATCAGTCTGGGTCATATCCGTCATCTAGCTCTGCAGCCCATGGTTCTGGATCTGATCAGTGCTCCGGTTATGAGCAATGTGAATTAAAAGGGAGATATGGAATTCAGTCTGAATCTTGCTGCAGACAATCAAATGGTAATAAAGGGCAATCAAGAAGCAGTTATAGACAAGTAGAAACCTCCTCACATTGTGGCTCTGGACAATTTTTACCCTCTTACAGACAGCCTAGATACAGTTTAACCAATAAACTGCCAATTTGTAATGATGATAATAGACAAGAAGGCTATTGTTATCAGAGAGGAAAAAGAGGTGACTGTGAAAGGGGAAGTACAGGCTCAAGATCACACATTTTCCTTAGCAGCACTCCACTCTATGAATATGTCCAAGAGCAGCAGTGCTAATTATGGGGATGAATAATAATAGAAGTAAAATTAACTCAAGTAGCAATCCAGGAAATAAGAAACTGTTGCAGACAAGTAATTCATCATGAAATTTCTTTCTAAAAATGGTTGCATCTGTTTCTATCTTTTTCATTTAAACCTGTAACTATTCCTTGTTGTTGGGCTCCTTCCAAAGAATGTAGGGCATTTGGGTTTCGTTAGGAAATACTGAGTTGAATAAATGATTAGTGTTGGGGGCTAATTTGGGAGAATAATTCAAGCATTTAAAGAACTTGGGATTTAGTTGACATTTCTTTTGGGGAGGTCTTTATTCAGTTAGAAATGATGCCAAAGCTAAGTTTGCATTTCTAAAAAGCAAAATATTATAAATGCATTACCAGTCCTTGGTAGGACTAAGAGGAGCCAAAGCTTTCTCTTACAGCAATGTGTACCCTAATTTTTCATGTACCCCATGTTGGATGGTGGCAGAAGAGAGACAGCTGTAAAATCAAAGATACAGAATTGGTAGTTTCTTTGCTTATCAAAACCACCAACCCCCTATTCTTGGATACATCCTTAATCAGTAAGCTAACCACTGGCATTAAAAAGTAGCATCAGGTGCTTCTGCCTAGCCAATGATCTAGACCATTATTTCTTAAAAAGCAGGAATGGATCAGTTCAGAATCAAAGGATCCAAATGTGGGTTTTAACTTTGTTTCAGCAAAAAAGATTTTGCCCCCTACTTCTAAGAAGTTGCTTCAGATTGGAAAACTTTAGAGAAACTATAGTATGGAAATACTCCAACCTACTTCCACAGTTTATTAATCTTTCCATCTAAAAAAAATATTAACTATGCCCAGATGGAAAGGAAGACTATCTGCCACTGCTATACAGTTCCTTGGTTTGACTATAACATTTTTGTTTCAAGTCTTTGGATTCAAAACTGGATTGCATTAAAATTGACAATAAGTAAATGGTGATTAAATACTGAGGTCTGCCTCCTCTCTGCCTCATTTCACTTCTCACACACAGGTGGTCAAACTAGAAACCAACCCAAATAGCTACTTCCCAAGGTCTTGACCTTTGCAAACAATCCAGAACATACAAAGAGTTTGAACACTCAATAAGACAAACGACTTGGTTTAAAAATGGGGAAAATTACATGACATTGGTTGTGGCAATAAAAGTTTGGATATGACACAGACTAAATAAATAAAGAATGGGACTACATTGAACTAAAAAGTTTCAACCAACAAGATGGAAAGGCAGCCTATGAAATGGGAGAAATATGTGCAAACCATATATTTGATAAGGGGTTAATATCCAAAATACATAAAGAACTCAAAAAAATAATAATAACCAGATTTTATAATGGACAAAAGATGCAAAATAGACATTTTTCCAAAAAAGACATACAAATAGCCAACAAGTATATGAAAAGGTGCTCAACATTAGTTCACTAACAGAGAAATGCAAATCAAAACCACAATGAGATATCACCTCACACTTTTTAGGATGGCTATTATTAAAAGTCAAAAGATAAGTGTTGGTCAGGATGTGGAGGAAACCACTATACACTGTTGGTGGGAATGTAAATTAGTACAGCCATTATGGAAAATGGTACAGTGGAGGTTCCTCAAAAAAATAAAAATAGAACAATCCTATATATGATCCAGTAATTCCACTTCTGGGTATATATCCAAAGGAAATAAAATTACTATCTTGAAAAGATATTGCATTTCTATGTTTATAACAACATTATTCACAGTAGCCAAGATATGGAAACAACCTAAGTGTCCACTGACAAATGAATACATAAAGAAAATGTGGTGTGTACACACACAATGGAATACTATTCAGCACTAAAAAAGAAAGAAACCCTGCCATTTGCAACAGCATGTATGAACCTGGAGGACACTATGCTAAGTGAAATAAGCCAGACACAGAAAGACAAGTACTACATGATTTCACTCATAAGTAGAATCTAAAAAAATCAAACTCACAGAAGTAGAGAGTAGAAACGCAGTTACCAGGGGCTGATGGGTCAGTGGGAGAAATGAGGAGATGTTGGTGAAAGGGTACAAACTTTCAGTTATAAGATTAATAAGTTCTGGAGACCTAAGGTACAGCATGGTAACTACAATGAACAATAATGTATTGTATAACTGAAATTTACTAAGAAAATAGATCTAGAGTGTTCTCACCACACCAAAAAAAAAAGTAGTGATGTTAGGTGATGGATATGTTAAATTAGCTTGATTGTGGTAATCACTTCACAATGTATCCACATATCAAAACATCATGTTGTACACCTTAAGTATATAATTTAATTTGTCAATTATGCCTCAATAAAGCTGGAAATTTTTGAAATTGAAATGGGCAACAGATTTAAATGGACACTTCACCAAAGAAGATATACAAATAGCCAATAAGCACTTGAAAAAAACACTCAATCATTAGTCAAAAAAGACAACCACAGACTATGATAAGATTTTGGCAATATTTATAAACAACGAATGATTTAAATAGCCAGACTATATAAAGAACTTATAAAAATCATATTTGGGTAAAACAGAAAAATTTATAAAGAGAAAATTCACCAAAGTAGAAATCTGAATGGCTAAGTGGTATTTTTGGAAACAATGCTCATAAAAGTAAAACACAATGAAATCTATTTCACACCCATCAGATTAGAAAAAAAATTAAAGTCTGACAATATCCAATTTTGGGAGGACATGGAGCCGCAACAAAAGACTAAATTGGTAACCAATTAGGAAGCAATTTGGCAACCACACAAAAGTCTGTAACAGCAAAATGTTGCAAAAAACTTAAAAAGTTTAGCAGAAGAATGGATAAATAGGGGCCGGCCGGTGGCGCACTGCTACAGTGCGCCGCTTGGGAGCGCGGTGGCGCTCCCGCCGAGGGTTCGGATCCCACATACAGACCAGTTCCCGCTCACTGGCTGAGCGAGGTGCGGGAGCAACACTGAGGGTTGCGATCCGTTGCCAGACACGAAAAAAGACAAAAAGGAAAAATAAAAAAGAAGAATGGATAAATAAATTGTGATATCTATACACTAAAATGCTTTACAGCAGTTAAAATTCATGAGCTACAAGTATATATGTATCAACATGGACAAATTCCAAAAGTATAAAATTGAGAGAAAAAGTTGTAAAATTCATGAGCTACAAGTATATATGTATCAACATGGACAAATTCCAAAAGTATAAAATTGAGAGAAAAAGTTGTAAAATATGTATACATAGTGTGGTAGCATTTATATAGTCTTACAATATACATAACAATACCATATATTATTTGTGGTTAATACATATTTGGTAAATATAAAAATCATTATGGGAATGACAAACACCAAATTCAGGATAGTGGGTATCTCTCGAGGGAGGGGAGAAAATGGGACTGTGAAAGAGTTAAAAAGACCAAAATTTTCTTAAGCAAGATAGTGTTAATTATATTATTCTCTACGCTTACTTGTAAACCTCAAATTATTTCACAAGAAAAAGGAAAACACAAAAATCAATGTTGGCATGCCCACCAAGGACTGCTCAAAGGAGAAAGTACTCTGACAAGCTAGTCCGCTGGCACGGTTCAGCATGTAATAAATGTATCAGCACCTCAGTGCCTGATGACATTCATTAGCTGAACCACACAACAAACCATCTGGCTCAGACTTGAAACTCACCAAAAATTGAAAAATTTGGCTTCCCAAATTTTCTCAAAAGGAGAAAGCATTTACTAGCCAGATTAATACAGACAGACCCCCCCCCCCCCCGTGTTTCTGACAGCACATTTTTTACTTTACATTAATAAAATGGCGTTCTGGTGTTCATTATTCAGTCCCTGCTGAGTTTAGATACAATGAAACAGCTTTCCTGGGTCTGATCACCTCTGGGGCACTGATGTGAATGCATGTCCGAGTCTGCAAGGATGAGAACCAAAAAGGAGTGTTGCCTTTTTCCAGGCAACACCCCCATCATATTCTTTGCCTTCCAAATTTCAAGAGATCAAGGGCAAGAAAAATTTTCTAGTAAGAGAAAGCAAAGAAATGTCAAATAAATGCCTAATTGTACACCTTAGCCAAGTGTTTCAGTGTTTCCATTCTCCATGTTATGACTCCAGAATCTAAGAACCATAATACTGAAGTTAAAAGATGAGAAAGAGGTAGGACAACTGTTTTAAGCAGGATCTTACAGAAGCTCAATACCTCATCCAGAGTCTGGATCTCACTTTTGAAAATCAAGAAAGTCAAACTTTTTCTGTATACTCAGATGAGATCAAGCTCTGAGAGACAGATTCCTACTAATCTTAAGGGTCCAATTTATTAACTACAAGATACATATGCATTGAGAACAGGAACCAGTTGTTTATCATGGGGTATTCCCTCCCATTTGACAGATTCATTTAAAAGATATCAGAGATTGTTAGATGAGCTTTAGATCAAAGGAGTTTTATTTTCAAAGGGTTGCTCTATCATGCTATGGTAACCTGATGATATTAACAATATTTCCTAACAGGGAAAGAAGAGTACAAAAGTAA